AGATATAAGACTTATTGAGTAGTTCTTCCACCAATTTGCTGGCAAGTCTCACAAGTCTTCATATAATTCTTGATATCTGTTCCTATATTATTCTACCAATATTTATTTGTAATTTATTGATAGATTTCTTCATATTCAAAATATCCAGATAAAGAGCTTGAATATAAATTAATAAGAATAGCTTTCATTTCATTTTCTTTAATAACTTGAAGAGATATAGTTAATTTTTTTTTCTATTAATTTTGTATAATATACTATTAATTTGTAAAAATATTTTGCTTAATTATGAATTTTGTATTATTATTCAAGAGTTAATCCTACAGAATAAGTTTTATTATCCAAATATTATTATAAATTATAATAAGTTATTAAATCTATATTATAATTATAAAGAGAAAATTTATTTAATGATCTTCTAAATATATCTGAAATAAGATATCAGCATTTTGATTCTTTCTTCCAAATCAATAAGTAATAATAAAGATATATTTTATAAGAGATATAATCTATCAATTTACACTAGCAAAATGACTTGATTAATTTTTAAATAATTATCTTAAAGTATTATGATTAGTAATTATTTCAAAAACTATTTCAAGTAAATAATGACAAAATTATTTAATAGCTCATACTACTACTAGTACTTTCTTTTCTATTACTTTATATTTTTGTTCATTTAGTTTCAAAATGACATTTACATAAGTAACTACTTATTTTCTTCCATCTTTATCTTTTTGAGATAAGATAGCTCCAAGTCTTGAATCTGAAATATTAGTATAAATATAGAATTTTTTATAAAATTAAAATAAATTAAAATAGGTGTAATTGTAAGATATTGCTTTATTTATTGAAAAGCTTTTTCTTGTTTTATAATCTAAATAAATAATTCTTTATTATAAAGTAATTTAAATAGTGATGTAGTAATTTGAGAAAATTCTTTTATAAATTTTTTATAATATCCAGCTAACTCAAGAAATGATCTAAACTCTTTAATAGTTTTTGGTTGAGAATAAAGATAATAACTTAATTATTTTAATAATTATAGTTTTTGTTAGTAGTTGCAATATATATATCATAATTAGCCACAGTTATATCATTAATAATGTTATCAATTTTAGCTAATCAAATTTTAAATATTATATTATTATATAATTTTAAATATCTTGATTAATTTACATCTAATTTTAATAAATTTAATATTATTAAAATCACAAAAATTTAATAATATTAAGATCATTAGATTTTACTTATTATCTTATATAATATTTAAATAATTATTAAATTATATTTTAAACTTAAATATTTTTTTAATATTTATTTAATACTTATAAAAATATTATTATTAAATTTCTTAAATTAAGAGAATTTTAATAATATTAAATTGAAATTATTTATTAAAATCAAAAATAATTTTATATAAATTTAATTATATATTAATTTTTAAATATAATATTTTAGTATCTAATAATTAGAATATTATCAAACTATAGTTAACAACATAAAGATTCAGACTTTTTTGTAATATACAAAAAATATTATAGATAAGTTATTTTTGTGTTATTTTTAAAATTATTTTCACTATATAATATCTTATGATCTATAATATTAATATATATAAATTTATACTAATTTTATTTGTTATAATTAATACTTATTAATAAATAATATCACATAACACTACTCTTAAGAAACAAAGAACTATTATAAGTGAATTATAAAAAAATAATATCCAAAAACCAGCTGAAATCATAAAAATTACAGATTATCTCAAATCTATTATTTATGATCTTGTTAAAAATCTTAAAAAAAATGATAAAATTATACTTCATTCTATTTCTGAAAGATCTTTCATTCTTTCTGCTCAAAATTATCATCATCTAAACTAACTTATTCAAACTAATCAAGCAATTTTTATACTTAAAATAAAAAATAGACTTACTAAAATTAATCTAAATCATAATATATCTACTTGTACTATTTAACATACTTTAAAAAAAATCTTAAATATATTATTATAGATTATAAAGCATTTTACTTCTTAAACAAGATCATATTACTTTTCATCTTCAGTGAAGTCAAAAATATATCAATGATAATTGGAATCAAATAATTTTTTCAAATGAAATCATATTTTAAATATTTCAGAATACTTTATTAATGTGATATTATTATAAAGATTAATATCCATATCAACTTATAATAAAATATCCATATAAAATTCATGCTTGAAATACATTTTCTTTATAAGAATTGATCATATTATTTTTATTTACAGAAAATTTAAATTGTTATAAATACTATGAAATTCTTGAATTCTATCTGTTTTCAAATATCTATAAAGCTAATTCCAAATGGCATTTTTAATAAGATAACTCTTCTATTTACACTGCTGGTGATACAAAAAATCTTCTTGAAGCATATTAGATTCATGTGATTAATTGATCTGCAAACTCTCCTAATTTAAATCTTATTGAGAATTTATAAGTAATACTTAAACAAAAAGTTAAAAAAAGATTAATATTTATATAATTAAAAAAAAATTTATCTGTTAATGAATTTCAAGAAATAATTAGACAAGAATGTAATAATATTGATCCTGATATCTTTTTTAAGTTAGCAAAAAGCATGAAAAATTATATTAGTAAGCTAATTGTTAACAATAGGAAGAAAATAAATTATTAATAGCTATGTAATTATATTCATTATGTATTTGATTATATTTTAAAAAAAATTTATTATTAAAAAATAAGTAAATAAATTTTTTTATAAATATGAATAAATTTCTAAATTTTTATGTCACTAACTATATTACTATTTAATTTATTTAAATTTATTAAATAAAATAATAATATTTTTATATAATTTTAATTACTAAATATTAAAATATTATGTTCAAAACTTTTTATATAAAAAATTTTAATATAAATTATATATTTAATAATAAATAATTAAAATATTAATTTTATTTTTATACTTAAAATATTAATTTAATTTGCAATATAATATTAAATAAAGTTATTAAATATATTTTATTATATAAATATTAAATTTTAAATAAATATTTAAAGAGATATTTTTATTTAAGTATAATTTTCTAAAAAAAAATAATAATAAATATATATATTTTAATAAGAAATTTTTAAAAATCATAAAAATTTGTAAATATATTCTTTAAAATATTATTATAATAAATTATAATAAGTTATGATAAGCTATAATAAGTTATAACAAGCTATAATAAGTTGCAAAAAGTTATAACAAGTTACAATAAGTTATAACTTATAATAAATTATAACAAGTTGCAAGTTTTATTAAATTTTTTAATAAGTTATAATATATAGTTGTAACTTAAGTATTATAGCATAGTAATTATAGCTATTATCTTTAGTTTAAATTTTAATTAAATAGTTTATTTTTTACCCAGTATTATGACTTTTTTTATTTAATTCAATTATATATATAAAAAAATATTACTAAAAGATTTTATATCTATTAATACTATAACTTAAGTATAATACTTATTTTATATATATTAAACTTGATTAGATTAATAATATAAATTAATTTATTTATTTATAAAATAAAGTATAGATTTTAATTGTATATTTTGATATTGTAAAGAAGTTATTAATAAATATCAAAAAATCTTTTATTTACTTTAAAAATCATTATAATTATTGCATAAATTATTTAATTTAGTATGAAATTCAAGAATTTTTTCATCAAGAATCTCAAGCTACTGATATTAATATTATAATTTATATCTTTATCAAATATCACTTAATAAAATTCTTAATTTAAAATAACTTTTTATATTTATGATTATTTGAAGTATATAATTTATGTGAATTTTATAAAAAAGAACAATTATAATAAAAACAAAAACAATTGATATTATTAATACTATTTTTAATAATTCAAATAATAATACTTATATTAAAATTTCTTTAGCATTTATTTAATATCAAGCATAATAATTTATTTTTGATTTAGATTTTTTTCAATCTGAATGTAATCCTCTTTTTTCTTTTATAGAAGAATATATTGAACAATTAAAAGCTTTTATTTCAAATAGTATTTCTATCAATAATTTGAATATCATATTATTTTAGTAATTCTTAAGTATAATTCTGATTTTTCTACTTATAATTCTATTTTTCAATCTGCTTTTAGTACAGCACAAAAAAATTTTTTGATTATTTTAATTCACATTCTTATTGTTCTCTTTTTAAAGCAGCTCAAATTTTTGATCCCTGTTTTTTTCAATTAACCATTAATAATCATGATATTAAAAATATGATATTGAAATTTTTGAATTATCTAATCCTTCAATAGCTCTCATTCAAGAATGGGCTCTTTATTATAATTTAGATTTAATAATAATAACTCATAATCAACTTTATATTTTTTGGAACAATATTGCATCTCATTTTCCTTATTTAAGCAATATAGCATTTGATTATATTTGTTTACCTATTTCTTCCTGTGCTATTAAAAGAAGTTTTTTATCTTTTAACAATATTTTAGCTGATAACTGTCAAAATTTAGGTGAAGAATCACTAAAAATACTTAATATGATGTACTTTAATTCTATTAAAAAATAAAAATATAACATTCAAATTTTTTTTGTATTATTCGCAAAAACCAAAATTTTTTTATTATCCAAACAAATTTCTCAAAATATAATCCAAATTTTTCCGGGTCCCTGGCCACCGTATTCGGATAATCCGGTTTGAAAAATTTTAAACCGGATGAACTATGTAATCCGGATGAAATGAATCGGTTCTAATCTCTAATAATTCGATTTATGTTTTGCGCAATATCTCGTGAACTAACATGTCAAATATTATAAAATTTTGTAGACCTGTAGAATAAACCTGAGGAATATTTTTTATTATTGGCATTTTGTATGCTAAAACTTGGCATTGCACTTATTTTATGTGTAGAGTTCATGAACGATATTTTATACTACATGTATATCATAATTATCGTCGGTAATTTTAGAGAGGTCGGTAATTACCGAATTTTATCGGATTTCTAAGAGCTCTTCGAAATGGGTGGGCGAAAAAATAGTAAACGACACAAAAGAATATCGTTATTCCAATAAGGATCAATGTAATAAGTTTTCCACTAGAAGGAGGTTTGTAAGGATGCGAATCATAAGGAGGCGGCAACGGCGAAGGTGGTGGCGGTACATCAAATAAAACGTGAGGTCGATCTCGAGCAAGCCTGAAAATCGCTTCGCCGAAAAGAGAATTTGCAGCTCTAAATATTGCGAATTAGTACATGTAGAAATATTATAATTTAATTATGCATCTATATTTACTCACCCGAACTCGCTTCGTAATTGTTTCTCTGTGTCATGATACCAAAACGCTTGACTTAGATACCCTGTATGAGCACCAACATTTTTAAGTAGTTCAAGATTCTCCAAAATTTCCGTGTCATTATCCGATGTCATAACCTTTAATTTAAAGAAATTAGAACTCGAATCTTTAAATTTTCAAATCAAATTTAAACATACATTCATAGTAAGTCCAAGTGGCCATATATAACCGAGTCCTGTATGAAGGCTTCCAACGCCTGTAAATTCCCCCTCAAACCAATAAGGATTCCATCGACTCATAATTAAGGCACGCGTGGATTTATATAAAGGATCATCAGCTTTGATAAAACCTAGATACGGTAAACTTATTAAACTCGGGACATTTGGATCATCCATGAGATTAAATGATCCAAATCCATTAACTTCATATGCGAAAACTTCCCCAAAAGTTGCGTGTTTTACAACTGCATATTTATAAATTGCAGTTCGAATTTCATGTGATAAATTCAGAATATGAGATGATAGATCTAAGGTATGGAATAATGTTTCCGGATCTGTATTATCCAATATTTCTTTTAGATGAAGTAATTCAATCGAAATCATTGCATTTGTAGGTATGACAAATGGATAGAAAGATGCATCGTCAGAAGGACGAAAATGTGACTTAACAAGCCCTAAGAAAATAAACCATAAATTAAATAAATGTGCAGTTTTAAAATTATCAATCAAGAAATCATATTCGTACCAGTTCTTTTAGCAATAGACCCTAATAAAAGAATTGATCGAGTTAAACCGTATTTTTTTATCTGATTGAAAAAGAAAAATAACTATACCTCTTCCACCTAGCAATAGAGTCTCACTACTATTTCGTGATGGTCTAGTAAATAAGTATGCTTCATTACCAAATTCTTCCATCGTACCACGCATTTGTTCAGAAAACACGTTTATAGCAAGCTGAGTAGCATTAACCCAATGCTCATTTTGCATAAAGGATGAATCGTTTGTATTCTTCCAGTAATGATAAGTTAATTTTAAAAAAGCAGCAAGGTTATCGGCTGCAAATTTCTCCTGCCAGACGGCCGAAGAAGGTTTCGGATAACTTTTATCGTTTTCTTCCCAAGGATCATTTGGTCGGGGTAAATTAGAAGAGGGCGGCGGGAAAAATGAGTTGGAATAAATATCCTAATTTTAAATAAATTTTGTTTTATAAAAGTCTAATAGAATAAAAAAATAATTTTACAATACCTTCGCTAAATATTCGGCTTGCATATTTATTACTCCAAGTATCATTTTAGCAAGTTCGGGGTCATCTTTGGCAAGAGGAGCATACGAAACAACCTGATTGGTCGAGTCACGAATATAAAGGACCCTAAAAAAAAATGAATTTGCTTTTTAGACAACTTCGTCTATTTAATTGTTATATAAAAATTTTTAATTATTACTCAAATTTTCCTGGAACAATAAAAGTTCGTGGATAGCCCTTTGAATCATCTTGCCACAAAACGTAATCATCTTTAAAAGTTTTTGATTAATTATTTTCTTAAATAAAAAATCTTAACAAGTGCTCCAAAAATCTTTTACCTAAAGAATTGGACCAACAATTTTCGAACAACGTAGCTAAATCTTTGTCCTTCATTTTCTTACTAACTTCAATAATAGCCTGCTCGATAGCTTGGCTTTTGAATTTTCGATGTCGGAACCATGGTCGTGAATAGGGAATTTTGCTGAAATTAACGATAGCTGTATCGTTAGCTGTAGAATTGTTTAAGATCGGCATCTTTCAAAAGTCAGTACACGTTTTTTGTGGGAATTTATATGTACAGTGTGATTCACATGAAATAACCAAAATTAGAATAAAATGTTCTACAAAAAATAGACGAATAGGAGAATAGATATCCAGTAAACTTTAATTCTTCTCTTTGCGACGAGTCTCTAAATTGAGACGGCTGCTACCACCCTCTGTGACTAACGACAAATGATCTTATCTTATTGGAACCGGGGCATACGTTCTGCCAAAAAAATACATACAGCAACAAAAATACCA